CACAGGGGACAGTGAGCGGGCTTGGCTCAGCTGTTGGCTTTGAGAAAACCATGATCTGCTATAGACACACACACACAAACATGCATACACACACGTACATACACAGAGACATGTACAGACACACATGTACATACAGGTACACAGAGACACGTGTGCACACAGACATGTATATACATGCATACACATATAGTCACACACGCAAACACGTGTGCACATGTGTACATGCACACAGATGTGTGTGCATAGAAACATGTACGTGCATGCACGTGTACAAACACACCAACATGCGATACATACGCACATCCACACAGATGTGTACATGCGTGCATACACATGTGTGCACATATACACACATGCACACGGCCATATACATACAGACATGCGTGCCCATGTACATGCACATGCAGACACAGACATATACAGACACACATAGAGATATGTGCACATACATGCGTATGTACATATAGACATGTAGACATAGAGAAACAGACACACACACAGAACACACAGACACACAGAGACATATACACACAGAATTGACATAGACACACATGCACACACACACACAAAAACACACACAGAGATGCAGACACATAGCCACACATGCACACAGCCATATACATACAGACATGTGTGCCCGTGTACACAGAAACATGTACATGCACATGCAGACACACAGACATATACAGACACACATAGAGATGTGTGCACATGCATACATATGTACACACAGACATGTAGACATAGAGAAACAGACACACACACAGAACACACAGACACACAGAGACATATACACACAGAATTGACATAGACACACATGCACACAGACACACACAAAAACACACACATACACACAGAGATGCAGACACAGAGCCACACATGCATACGTGTGCATGATACATAAAGGATGTCCTCATGCATGCACACATGTATTGAGACACATACCTGTCCATGCAGACCGCTGTGTGAGCGTGTGTGCATGTACATACGTGTGTGCAGAGTGCCTACATGCACACGTGTGTAGATGTTCTCAGTCACTCTTAGTCACTCCCAAATCTGCCCAAGGCCAGGTCCTCGTTCCCCGAGAGAAGTGGAACGAGGAGAACGGGGTGCTCTGAGCGTGAGGGAGCCCCGGGTGCTGCTGGTGGCCAGGTTCCCGCGTGTTCAGACGTGCCCGCCACACGGGGGAGTGGCCGCCTGCCGCGGCGGGCTCACTGCAGAGGAGTGGGCGCGTCTTCCAGGCTGCAGCCTGCACGGGGCTGGCATCGGCTTCCTACAGATCCCGTTAGCACGTTTGTCTCACAGCTCTAAAATAGTGGCAAATATGTGCCGTTTATTTAACCAACACCAGGGCAGAACGCCACGCGAGCTCGTCCCGAGCCAGTGACGACAGCGCAGGTTAAGACAGAATCGAAAGATGAAAAACCCGGCCGCGTGACAACTGTGCAGGTCTGTGGCTGCGATTCCCGGGCCTGGGCACGATGGCCACACCGTCCAGAGGTCAGCCTGGGGCCTGCCCTGCACGCCCCCCAGCTGCCCCTCCTCAGCTGAGCTCAGAGCAGACCCTCTCCCAGGCCTTTCTCCAAGGCGGGCACCGGGCACCGGGTCTGTGTGCCATGTGCGCAGGGTCTGTATGCCGTGTGCAGGGTCTGTGTGCTGTGTGTGCAGGCTCTGTGTGCCATGTGCGCAGGGTCTGTGTGCCGTGTGTGCAGGGTCTGTGTGCTGTGTGTGCAGGGTCTGTGTGCCGTGTGCACAGGGTCTGTGTGCCGTGTGTGCAGGGTCTGTGTGCCGTGTGTGCAGGGTCTGTGTGCCGTGTGCAGTCTCTGTGTGCCGTGTGCAGGGTCTGTGTGCCGTGTGTGCAGGGTCTGTGTGCCGTGTGCAGTCTCTGTGTGCCGTGTGCAGGGTCTGTGTGCCGTGTGTGCAGGGTCTGTGTGCCGTGTTCACAGGGTCTGTGTGCCGTGTGTGCAGGGTCTGTGTGCCGTGTGCAGTCTCTGTGTGCCGTGTGCAGGGTCTGTGTGCCGTGTGTGCAGGGTCCATGTGCCGTGTGTACAGGGTCTGTGTGCTGTGCGCAGGGTCTGTGTGCTGTGTGTGCAGGGTCTGTGTGCCGTGTGTGCAGGGTCTGTGTGCCGTGTGTGCAGGGTCCATGTGCCGTGTGTGCAGGGTCTGTGTGCCGTGTGCGCAGGGTCTGTGTGCTGTGTGTGCAGGGTCTGTGTGCCGTGTGTGCAGGGTCTGTGTGCCGTGTGCAGGCTCTGTGTGCCGTGTGTGTAGGCTCTGTGTGCCGTGTGCGCAGGGTCTGTGTGCCGTGTGCGCAGGGTCTGTGTGCCGTGTGTGCAGGGTCTGTGTGCCGTGTGCGCAGGGTCTGTGTGCCATGTGCGCAGGGTCTGTGTGCTGTGCGCAGGGTCTGTCTCACATCCGCTGTCTCTGGGACGAGGAGCAAAGTGAGCCTGGAACAGGGAGACGGCACCGAGCCTGGCACATGGCGCTCCCAGAGTAAACACCGGGTGTCGCCGGCTCCTCCCCACCCTCTTTTTCTCCTCCCCCCTCCCCCCTCCCCCCTCCCCCCTCCTCTCCCCCCTCCCCCTTCCCCTCCCCCCTCCTCTCCCCCCTCCTCTCCCCCCTCCCCGTGTATGCAGGGCGTTCTGCTGGCTCCGTGGACCACGGTCACGGGCGGGCTGGCTCCGTGGACCACAGTCACGGGCGGGCTGGCATCCAGGAATGCAGGCAGGGCGGTGTTCGCCTCCCTGCCAGAGCACCTGGGCCTGAGTCGCAGCCCCTCTCCCAACGCCAGCTTCCTGCTCACGCACCTGGGAAGCAACAGGTACCTGGGACCTGCCGCCTGCGAGGGAGACCCAGACCGCGCCCCGGGCAGCTGGCTGCAGCCTGGTCCAGGCCCGGAAGCTGCAGGTGTTTAGGGAGTGAATCAGCGGATGGGAGCCCTCCGCGTCCTCCATCCACCTCTGTCTCCCTGCCTCTTTTTTAAAGATTTATTTATTTATTTAAAAGTGTTACACAGAGGGGGAGAGAGAGAGAGGTCTTCCATCTGCTGCTTTACTGTCCAAGTGGCCACAACACTCAGGGCTGGGCCAGGCCACAGTCAGGAGCCAGGAGCGTCTCCGAGTCTCCCAGGTGGGTGCCGGAGCCCAAGCACTTGGTCCGTCTTCTGCTGCTTTCCCAGGGAAATTAGCAGGGTGCCGGATCAGAGGTGGAGCAGCCGGGTCTTGAACCAGCACCTCTGTGGGATGTCAGCATCTCAGGCAGGGGCTTGACCCACTGTACCGCAGAGCCAGCCCCCTCTCTGCTGTTAAACAAGTAAAAATAGACGAATAAAAACGGAAATGCAGAAAGGTGGAAGGCATCGAGCAGAATGGGTAACAAAACCCACTGCGGCCCGAGAGCGCCCATCTCCTGCCGCGTCCTCCCCTCCCCAAGACAGCTGGGGCGGGCGGCCCCGTCTCCCCTCCAGGGGCGTGGTGGACATCGCCTCACTTGGGGAGCTTCTCCCCCACCCCGTCCAGCTGCGTGGCCTGCAGGTGGGGAGGCCGCCCTGACCGCCAGGCGTGGGCAACGCTTTCTGTCCGATCATCTTGTTCGGTTTCCATGGCAACCGCCTGAACTCAGCGCTCCCAGCCCCGTTCTGTGGAAGAGGCGGCGGGGCTGGGGCTGGGGGGGCCTGTGGGACTGCGCCCCACGTCACGAGAACCTCGCCGAATCCCACCCTCAGCCACACCCTCGCCGCCGGCTCCCAGCTCCCTCCTGGCGGGCACGGTGCGCTTTGCTGGGCTGGTGGGTTCGGCGGGCGGAGAGGATGTCTCTCTTGTTTGCGTTTTCGATTCCCAGAAGACTTGCGCCTTTCTCACAAGTTACTGCTCCTTGTTGCGACTTCGCCCCGTGGCACCCACGCGCACCCTCGTCCCTCGCGGGAGCAGGCGCCGTGTCTGTTGATTTGTCAGAGCTCTGGCACTGGGATCCCGACCTCCTGTCGGATTTGCCGTAATCTAGTTTGCCGTGGCTGTTTCCACGCACGTAGGTGTAAGTTAGACCGTATTAGTCTCCGAGCAAGCGTTTCGCGAAGTGGTTGGAGCTCAGTTTGGGACTCCACGTCCCGTGTGGGGTGCCTGGGCTCCAGTCCCCGCTCTGCTTCCAAACCCGGCTTCCTGCTGATACACACGCTGGCAGGCGGCAGGTGATGGCCTGCGTGCGGGGTCCCTCACCCCTCTGGCAGTCCCGGGCGGAGCCCTGGCTCCCGGCTTCGGCCTGGCCCTGGCTCTTGCAGGCATTTGGGGAGTGACCCAGCCGATCGGAGCTCTCTCTCTCTCTCCCTTCCAAATGAAGTCAGCAAGATTGTTTTTCTTCTTGTTTTTTTTTTTAAGATTTTATTTATTTACTTGCGAGGTAGAGTTACAGACAGTGAGAGGGAGAGACAGAGAGAGGGGTCTTGCATCCGCTGGTTCACTCTCCAAATGGTCGCAACGGCAGGAGCTGAGCTGATCCAAAGCCAGGAGCCAGGAGCTTCTTCCAGGTCTCCCATGCAGGTGCAGGGGCCCAAGGACTTGGGCCATTCTCCACTGCTTTCCCAGGCCACAGCAGAGAGCTGGACTGGAAGAGGAGCAGCCGGGACTAGAACCAACGCCCATGTGGGATGGCAGCACCGCAGGTGGACGATTAACCCAGTGCACCACGGCGCCGGCCCCATAAAGTCCGCAAGACTATGACACGTGCTAGTGACTGCCTGCTTTCTTCATGTGTGGGGCTCCCAGTAAAAGCCCAGTGCACGCTGCTGGCCGCGCCTCTGCTCCCCACCCCACGTCCTGCTCTGTCTGGTGCAGCCTGCAGGGGAGGGTCTCTCCTGCCACCCCCCACACTTCACCCCTTTTCCCAGCAGCACCTGGTCGTCCTCCACCCACCCAGGACCCGCAGATGACCTCACAGCGCCCCACCCCCGTGCAGAAGCTAACCCGCCTTTCTTCTTGTTCCTCTCTTCCAAACGCCGGACGGAGCAGAGAGGGAAGCCGAGCGCGCCTCTGGACTCCCCGGCGGCTGCCCTGGACACGCTGCTGCCCTGGCCCCAGCACCACAGCACCCGCGGGCTGCGGCGCCAGAAGCGGGACTGGGTCATCCCTCCCATCAACGTGCCGGAGAACTCGCGCGGGCCCTTCCCCCAGCAGCTGGTGAGGGTAAGTCGGCCCTCGGCGCCCACGTCCCCGGGGCTCGGAGGTTGCGCCGCAAGGGGCAGGTCCTGCGATCCCTGTCGGGGTCTCGGCAGCGAGAGGTCAGTGCAAGTCACGTGAGGGTTCCTATGCCCGGGAGCCGGCGGCGCAGGGACGTGGGTCTGACCTTTGACCTCTGGTGCCCTGCTTTGGTCTGAGGGTCGTGTCTCTGTGTCTGGGAGTGAGCGGTGGCCAGGGCTGGGGCCGTGTGTGGTGAGCACGGTGCTGCTGGGCGGGACGTGGCGACCCGACGCCTGCAGCAGCTGCCCTGTCCCCGGTCCCCTGGCCTCGCCGTGGTCGCTGTGCCGGCAGAAAGCACACGTGGGCTCCGTGCTTCCGTGGCCGGGGCCGTCGCCAGCACTGCTTCTCCCCTGTGAGGTCAGAGCGGCGGGAACTCCAGTAGAGCCTTCCCGGCCACAGCGCGGCGGGCGCCTGGGGTGTCGCCAGGGTCGGCCTCTGTGTCCCGCTGGTTAACCTCCGAGTTGTTTCAGAAACCCGGGTGAGGAAGCAGTGCCTGGGGCCGGGCCCCCCAGGTCTCAGCCATGAGGGAGGGGCACATGGCCCAGTGAGCAGGGAGCCAAGATCGGCAGCGTAGGTAGGGCAGAAAGGCAGGCATTTGTGAACGTGGCCAGTGTGGGTGCACGTGTGTACACACGCATGCATATATGCGCACATGCATGGACATGCACACAGAGACGCGTGTGGGTCCCGGCCACCACCCGTGCTGCCTGCTGAGCCTGCTCTGTGTGGCCGCTTCTCCACCTGTGAGTTCACCCCGAGAGGAGGCGGTTTTGCTCTGGCGGAAGTGGAGGTGAGGCCAGGCCGGAGCTGCAGGTGCCCAGCCCCAAGGGGCCTGCAGCTGCCAGGGTCCCTCAGGCCGGGCGGTGGGCAAGCACCAGGTGCTGTCAGGGTCCGAGGTCCTCGAGGGCCAGCTAGAATGTTCTCTGGGTGCCATGAGCACGGACAGCGGACAAGAGACAGGGTGAGGTTTTCTTTACTTACTGCCTCGTGCCGGGCCCGCCTGGAAGTCGCCTCTCCGGGATGACCTTACTCTGGGGAGGGCCCGCTCTGAGACGTGGGTGGCCCTGTGGCCTCTAGGTCCTCGCATGGCACAGCCCACAGCGTGGTGGCTCCTCCAACCCTCCTGAGCTGCCTGGACTCCCTGGCGCCCCCTACAGGAAGTCCCCCGGCTGCCCCTCAGTGTTCACTCCCGCAGGAGGCCTGGATCACATGGTGTGGGCAGTGGGGGGCAGGAAAACACGGGTGGCGCCTCGGAGGCTGAGCTGGGATCGGCTGCGATTCTGTGCCGTCAACGCGCCCCCCCCCCCAGGAGTCACGCTGAGTGGAAGGGTCGGGGAGAGGCGGCGGGCGCCTTCCCAAGCCCTCCGTCAGGCGCAGGCTTTTCCCTGACCACCGCGCAGGGGACGTGTGAGGGAGCCCTGAGAAAGGGCGGCCCTAACTGGTGTGAGAGCCGTGGCCACGCGTGGAAGTGCTCCTGGTAGCGCCCGTGGAGGGAGCCACGGTGCGTGGCGTGGCGGGGGACGGTGGCCCTGGGCGACGGCACTGCCAGCCCCGGGCTGTGCTTCTAGGGTAGAGGAGGGGCGGAGACAGTCACGGAGCTGCTCCTCCCAGAGGCGGCGCCGGCTGCGGGACAGGCAGGAGAGGAGCCAGGAGAGGAGCCACTCGGGTGACCGGTGCCTCCCCTGGTCCAGAGCCCCCACTGGTGCTCTGCATCCCTCCGTGGGGGGCGCACACCGGGAGGTGACCAGGGGTCAGTGTGGGTCCTCCATGGGCTGCACACACCGGGAGGTGACCAGCGGTCAGTGTGGGTCCTCCGTGGGCTGCACACACCGGGAGGTGACCAGCGGTCAGTGTGGGTCCTCCGTGGGCTGCACACACTGGGAGGTGACCAGGGGTCAGTGGGGGTCCTCTGTGGTCCACTACATACCAGGAGGTGTCCAGCAGTCAGTGTGGGTCCTCTGGGCTGCACACACCGGGAGGTGACCAGCGGTCAGTGTGGGTCCTCCATGGGCTGCACACATCAGGAGGTGTCTAGTGGTCGGTGTGGGTTCCCTGTGGTCCACTACACACCAGGAGGTGACCAGTGGTCAGTATAGGTCCTCTGTGGTCCACTACACACCGGGATGTGACCAGTGGTCAGTGTGGGTCCTCCGTGGGCTGCACACACCAGGAGGTGACCAGGGGTCAGTGTGGGTCCTCTGTGGTCCACTACACACTGGGAGGTGACCAGCGGTCAGTGTGGGTCCTCCGTGGGCTGCACACACCGGGAGGTGACCAGCGGTCAGTGTGGGTCCTCCGTGGGCTGCACACACTGGGAGGTGACCAGGGGTCAGTGGGGGTCCTCTGTGGTCCACACATAAGGAGGTGTCTAGTGATCGGTGTGGGGTCCCTGTGGTCCACTACACACTGGGAGGTATCTAGTGGTCAGTGTGGGTTCCCTGTGGTCCACTACACACCAGGAGGTGTCCAGCGGTCAGTGTGGGTCCTCCGTGGGCTGCACACACCGGGAGGTGACCAGGGGTCAGTGTGGGTCCTCCGTGGGCTGCACACACCGGGAAGTGACCAGCGGTCAGTGTGGGTCCTCCGTGGGCTGCCACACCGGGGGCCGTTGGGGACCTCGGGAGGCGGAGGACGGGGTTCTCCCGTCACCTCCCAGCCGCCGAGCCGTGCGCTTCCCGCCCGTGCTTCGCGGTGGGGCCGTGGCTGCTGTGGCGGCGCCGACTCCTGCACAGCCGCTCGCTTTCCCAGCACAAAGCACAGGAGGCCGACGCTGGGCGGGACCCGGTGAGGCTACAGCCACACACAATTCCCGGCTGCTGAGTCTGACCACGTTCAGGACTCGTTCTCGGGAGCGGCTGTGCGGGTCGGGGCTGACTCAGAAGGAGCCGGGGCGTGGGGGGGGGCGCACGGGCCAGGCCTCGGGGCCCCTGCAGAGAGCAGACCCCGGCGAGGAACCCGCAGAGAAGACTCGGAAGGGAGTAGCTGTGTAGCTGCGGGCATGAGCGGAGGGAGGCATTGCTTTTCGTTTTAAGATCAATTTTATGTATTTGGAAGGCAGAGCTACAGAGAGAGAAAGAGGAAGGGAGAGAGGGAGAGAGGAAGGGAGAGAGGGAGAGAGACAGAGAGAGATAGAGAGAGAGAGAGAGGAAGGGAGAGAGAGAGAGGAAGGGACAGAGGGACAGAGAGAGAGAGAGAGAGAGAGAGAGGAAGGGAGAGAGGGAGAGAGAGACAGAGAGAGAGGAAGGGAGAGAGAGAGAGAGAGAGAGAGAGAGGTCTTCCGTCTGCTGGTTCACTCCCCAGATGGCCGCAATGGCCAGGGCTGGGCCGTGCTGAAGCCAGGAGCTTCCCCCAGGTCTCCCAAGTGGGTGGCAGGGACCCAGGCATGTGGGCCATCTCCTGCTGTCTTCCCAAGCACGGCAGCAGAGGGCTGGGTTGGAAGTGGAGCCACCAGGTCTTGAACCAGCGCCCACATGGGATGCTGGAGCGGCAGGTGTCGGCTTTACCCGCTGCGCCCCAGCGCCGGCCCCACGGCGTTTCTCAAGTGAGTTGCAGTGACCCATGGCGGCTCCCTGAGCTCCCCCTGGTGGTCAGCGCTGCCTTCTTCCCTCGCCCTGCTACAGTCGGTGCCTGCTGTGAGCACCTGTGTGTGCCAGCTTTGGTCACATCCAACCACGCGCATTGGCCGACTGCGCAGGAGCAGCAGTGAGCTGGGTCTTCAGAGGCTGGAGATGAAAGGAGATCCCGCGGGGGCTCAGCAGGAGCTGCCCTGAGCCGGGTCTGCAGCACGAGGTGGTGGCAGGGGGCGGTGACGTGGTGGCACCCAGACCTGGGTGGCGGCAGACTCCCCATGAGAACTCACCCGCTGGGCACACGTGGGACGGAGCTGGCCAGGGTAACCCTGTGATACCCACTGCAGAGTACTTGCTGGGTAACTCAGCGGGGAAAGTGCCACTGAGTCTATTGAAGAAAATGCTTCCTGGTACCGCGAGGGCGTCCCTCCATTGCAGGGACCATGGCTGTGTTGTTACTCGCTGTCCAGGGCGGGAAGGAGGCTGCCAAGCCTGCGTGAGGCTCTTGATCCCTCCCTGCCATCTGCCACCTCCCAAACCTCGTCACCCAGGTCCCCACGAGCTGAGCAGCCACGCCGGGTGATGCCCAGCGTCCAGTCTTGCCCGTGCCCTTGGCTCCCCGAAGGCCTGTGTGCCAGCCCCTGCCTTGGTCGGTGAGGGCGGGGGAGGGGACTTCCTCACTGCACCTGCCACTTCCTGCCTGCTCGGGCAGCGTCCCACCTCCCAGACCCAGCAGAGCACATGACACACCCTCAGCCTGCCCTGTGTTTTTAAGATTGATTGAGTGGTTTACTTGAAAGTCGGAGTCACATAGAGAGAGAAGGGGAGACAGAGAGAGAGAGAAAGAAAGAGGTCCTCCATCCGATCGTTCACTTCCCAGTTGGCAGCAACTGCCAGAGCTGCGCCGATCTGAAGCCAGGAGCCAGGAGCTTCCTCTGGGTCTCCCATGCAGGTGCAGGGGCCCAAGGACTTGGGCCATCTTCCACTGCTTTCCCAGGCCACAGCAGAGAGCTGGTCCAGAAGTGGAGCAGCCAGGTCTCGAACCTACACCCATATGGGATGCTGGCACTGCAGGCGGTGGCTTAACCCACTATGCCACAGCACCGGCCCCAGTGGCAGAGTTTTCAACACTGTTTTGTCAGTGCTGCTGGCCTGTGTCCCCCACTGAATCCAAGGTCCCTGCAGGCATAGGCAACCTGTCAATCAAACAACACGGGGACAGAGTGGCTGTCACTCAGACCCCACCGTCTCCACCTTCCAATGATCGTGGGCCTCCAGAGCCATGCCTGGGGACAGGTGGAATAGCCTGTCTCTCACACACCCCTACAGATAGTGACTGCAAACCCTGGAAAAATTTCTGACCATTCGCAGTTACTC